TAAGAGCTCCAGGGAAGTAGAGTTCCCACCACTGGCAGGGGACGTGCTGTCTTACCCAAGTAGTTATCATCCTCTGATTTCCCTGAGAAACTGTGCTGCCTCACGTCGATATTGGTAGCACCTGCTGGGATTCGGACCACAGTATTGTAACCTGCAAAGAATTTAGCCACAGTTCAGTATTCCACAACAGAGTTCAGTTTCTCTGAATATGGACTAAAAGGTGGGCAACAAAGGAATATAATCCAATTCCGGCTACTAAATGTCTCCTAGCCAGATGGGTCATGTACCTTAACAAGACTGATTTTATGCTTGACACGAATACTTTGACCTATTACCTGTGGTTAACAACTTTTAAACTTTGACCATTTTCCCTCTCATGGTTCTTTAGGAACAGACTCTTACCATAATGTACTGTATTAAATGTTCCTGCCACTGTTTTGCACGAAGAATTATCGCCACCACAAACTCCACATTTATCTCTCCGGGCTTTGGAATTTAAAATGTGATCACATCCAGCTTGCTTTTAAAAAAAGAAACATTTGAAATAAATGGTAAGTATTATAAAATCACAAAAATTATAAAAAAATATGACATGGCAATTAGCATGTTTCTTTGAATTATGCATTCAAACATGACAAGTAAGTCTCTTTAAAGTTGCAAGGGTTGAGAACTCAAATTATCTATAGCCCTGGTACAGAAAATGTGGTCCTTAGATGGGCAGCCATAAGCATCTCTGATGCTGTCAGGAATGCACAATCTCGGGCTCCACGCAGATCCACTGGGTGTGTCTCTGGCGTATTAGCAAGATCCTTATCTCTTCATCTACAGATTAAAGTTTGAGAAGTATGGGGGCACCTTGGCTGGCTCAGTTGGTAGAGCGTATGACTCTTGATCTCGGGGCCGTAAGTTTGAGTCCCATGTTGGGTGTGGAGATGACTTGAAAATAAAATCTTAAAAAAAAAAAAATCAAGCTTGCGACATCTAAGTCTACAAATAAGTGGGACAAATGAGAAGAACTGCTCAGGAATGAAAAAAAAAAAATAGAGGAGTGGTGGTGGGGGGGCGCTGTATCCAATTAAAGAGCTGACATCCCATCTGAAGGGAGCAACCTCTGTCCACTCTAGGCTCCCGTCACCATGCAGAAATAGGAGCCCCATGTTGACATTTCTCAATCTTTCAAGAGAAACTGGAAAATTGGATTTTATGTGAAATCCCCTATGTTTAAATACTGGCTATGAATGGAGGACAAAGCATGCCTCCAGGCTGCCAGTGTAAAGCCTGAGGCTCCAAGTGGCCTCTGGAATTTCTCCACATCTTAACGCAATGCAGCAGTGTTGACGGAGGTCTGCGAAGGACACGGAGCAATGACCAGAACACCAGGACAGAGTTCACATTCTTGTCCACGCTGCTCATTTGTATGAACTAGCCTTTGAAGAGAAGCTCAATGTTCTGCTACGAATGGACTGACAAGGAAATGTGCGCTGTAGTCATGTGTCGGAAAGTGGGTGAAGCTCTCAGGAGCCCCTTCCATCAAATCCTACTGACTAGGATTCCCATTTTCCTGGACCACATGCAGGGATCAAATAAATTACCTCAAAGATGGGCGACATTAAGAATGTTTTCTGATAGGTGAGAGCGGGGAAATGGTATCAAGCCCTCTTAGAAATCACTGCACAGATACTTTACTATCAGCCAGAAGTTTCTCGATTTCCCTTCTGAGAGGGATTAACAGCTATGTCTCGGGTAGAAGCTTTCATGCTTGAGATCAGAATGAGAAATCCGACGGAGGCCCGACTAGAGTCTGATGCCTCTAGACATCTTCCCGGAGCAGAACTACTGAATCTAAAAAACTTGCTGTATGGAAGTATTTGGGTTTAACCTTAAGCACCAACATTACAGTAAAGGAGGGTGTGTATGCACGAATTATTATAATAAATTTTCACAGGGAGGTTTTGTGCAGACCCTCACAGAGCTTGAGAATGTGAGAAAAATGCAGGACACTGGTTCTCAAATTTGGGCATCAGCATCAGGTGATGCCATTGCTGGGAAACACACTTTGAAAACCACTTCCCAGGAGACAGTGCACAGACTTTAGCCGCCGCTGGTTCTAGCAAGGAAGCCACAAACCACAGCGTGGCAGCAGGACCAGACAGTGAAGGAAACGCACCGGGGACTTACCCGGCAGAGGCCTTGGACACAGATATCGCTGGTGTCCTGGCCGCACGGAGTCCCATCGACTACCCTGTCTCGCAGTTGATAGTAGGCCGTGTTACCGGCCACCCTGCAGAACAACTTGCAACGGTCCTTCATCAGAACTAGAGAGGAAAAACACGCCGCAGTGTGACTTTTGGGCCCGCAACCCGCGCCAGCCTGCCCACCATCCTCGGACGCCTCCCTGGATGCACTTACTGCCACTGTACTTGGGGACCCAGCGCACATTGGGAAGCAGACCATTGATGTTGAAATGTTTGCCGTCAAAGTGAGCACACTGTTCGTCTCGGAAATCTCGCTTCTGCTTGAGACACGGCTCTGTGTTGCAGGATTTGAACTTCATTCTACGCCCTACACAGTACTTCCCACCATTTCTCGGCCTGAGGAAAGAAAGGGAAAGAACACACACACTGGCTAACAAGGCATTTCTCCCTACATCACTCTCTCCTCTGTGGCTTCCTGTCTTCTAGGGTAAGCGAGTCTGAAGTGGCTGACGACAGAGGACAGCACAAAGGTCTGCAATCTGCATTTGCATTCTGACTTCACACCATTAAGTATATGACTTTGGGCAAGTCACTTCACCCCCACAAGGCTTCGCATCTCCGTCTGTAAAAATGGGAAGGCGCCACCGAGTAAGGCTGTCTTGAGGATGGAATGTTAGAGTTTGAAATACAAAACCTGGGATCTATCAGGCATGGATCTGTCCTCTTTCTCCCGAAAATCCAGTCCTCTGGTTTTCAAAACATGGAAGGTAAAAGGTACGGAGGAGTAGTTGGAATGCTCCCCGTCTACTTTTTGTAACATGATATTCTCACTTGGGACCGGCCTCACACTTGTGCTATTCTACTGCCATTCAATTTCTCCCTCCCTCTCTCTCTCTCTCTCTCTCTCCCCCCTCACAACCATTGTTTTTCTTTGTTTTGTTTTACAAATGAGATGGAGTAAAAGGAACATTCCCATATTTTGACTAACCTAATAGGAGAAGCATGAGGAGCATACTGGTTTCATTAACTTTTGTGTGAGGAGAGGACATAGTAAGCTTGCCCAGCCTCACAGTGCAAATTCCATCTCAGCATGCAATTAGAGGAAATTCAAATGTACATGTATTTTCCAGATGGGACCCAGCGAGTCAATTATATGACACCTCTCCTAGCAGTCCACAGCTTGCCAAATTCATCATGGAAACGGGAAGATCACAGAATCAGAGGAAGTTGGGCTCACCCACCCAGGGCTGGAGCAGCTCGGGTTTCACAGTTACCCTAGGACATCTCTGAAAGAAAGTTTTCCACTTTTCTTCTTTAAAATGAATCTTTCAGAGTCACTGGGACCATGCAAAGTGGTCTTTTTTGTTTTGTTTCGTTTTGTGAAACCAGGACTTGCAGGAATGGAACATAGATCCATGTCCATAAAGTACAGAACAAGAGCCAGTCCAGCAGAATAGAGAAGGCTCTGGAGCTGGAGCTGGGTTCCAGTCTCAACTCTGTCCTCCTTGTGTGGCCTTAGATGAAGTTCTCAGCCTCCCTGAACATCAGTTGCCCCTTTTCTAAAATGAGCACACACAGTAGATGCTGAAAATGTTAGCTACTATGTTAATATGTCAGCAATATGTCCCAATCTAATCTGATCCAATTGAACAGTTTGTTTTGAGTACCGAATTTGCGCTAAGATATGGGGCAGGTCTCAATACTTCTGCAGAGTGCCCAAGGCTCAGGACAGGGCACTGGTTGTGATACTGTTGCAATGTGCTCCCTAGATCAAAGATGTGTAGACAAAGGCAAGAACATGGGCCTTGTAGCTACACACTGGACACCTCTGTGTCTGCCACCTGGTCTCTCTGAGCTCCATCCTGCACACTGGAGACAGACATGGTACTGTGCACCTGAAAAGCTCATTATGGATCTGAGAAGCTTAGTAAGCGGTCTGATAAATACTGTTATCACGAAGAAAACTGTATCTAGGGATACAAAATGACACGTAACCTCCCACTATCTGTCTGATTGTTTCTTTATGAAACACAACTAAGCCCATGTGTTTTATAGCTGCATTGTGCACTCGACTTGCTAAACCACACTCATATTTTGTCCAAGGGTAAGGCAGATGTGGTACTTTTATACTAAGGGACAGGAGGTTCAGAGAAGTCAAGTACTTTGTCATGGTCCACAGAGCTAATAAACGAGCAGAGATAGGACTAGAATTCCAAGTTTCCCAGGTTCTTTCTTTCCCTGTGCTCTCTTGCTACATTATCCAGGAACGATGGTCCAGAGTTTTTTGTTTTTTGTTTTTTCTTTTTTGGTGCCATTTAGAGATAGAGCCTTGGTGTCCTGGATTCTAAGTTCTTCTCTAAGTACCAAGACACCCTAGTCTCATGCATAAAATATCACAGATTACATGTGAATAATAGATCAGGCCCATATACCTGTTCAAGTGAAACTTGCCTTAAATGTGCTACAAGGAAGACCTCCTTCAATTTTTCCTCAGATTGAAATGATCTTTGTGGACTCTTTCTAAAGGGCCCAACTAACGATGGAGGATCAATCATTTATTGCCTGAAAGTAACTCATTTTTCTTTCTTTTTGAAATTAAATTCTCAACAGTTGATTTTTCCCTTTTGGCTCTCTTATACAAGAAGTCTTAACTCACTCCTGAAATTGCCCAAATGCAGCAGTTCCTTGGGCTGCGAATCATAAATACTCAGAGGCAGCTTCCCTTTGGATGGCAACGATTTCCACCTTGGCTTGCTTTTGCCCACTATCAAGTGGCAAATAGCATTTAGTGACTTCCTTTTTCCTTTTATAAGTGGCATTTTTAATAAACGACACACAGAAAACACTCCATGTGAGAGACAATATTGTGGAGGGTCATCGATAGGGACTCTGGAAACGGAGGGTTTGAATCCCAGGCCTGCCTCTTAATAATGGTGCAATCTTAGGCAAGTAGCTGAATCTAAGACTCAATTTCCCCATCTGTAAAAGGGAGACAATGCTAAGATCTACTTCATCGGGATGAGTGAGGGTCAGCTGGGTTAATCCATTCAAAGCACCAGAATAAGGCCTGACACACAGTAAATGTGTAGCTATTACAAGGGCCTGCCAACTCCAGCCTGTGGACCAAACCCTGCCTCCTGCCTGTTCTTACATGGCTGGGAGGTAACAATGGTTTTTACATTTTAAAAAATTAAGAAAAAATAAAACACATATTTTGAGACACCTAAGAATTAGATGAAATTCAAATTTCAGTGTCCATAAATAAGGTTTCATTGGCATATAGCCACACCCTCTCATTCCATGTTGCCCGCGTACGTTTCCCACTATATCGGCAAGGTTGAAGAGTTGGGTCAGAGATCCTATGATCCGCAAGTCTAAAATATTTACTGAGTATTTTATGGAAAAATATTCCTTTATAGTAAAGGTGTGTCCACCCCTGAGCCACTCCTGTGTACAAGGCCCCATGCCACTTTGTATGACTGTGCCCAGCCATGCTGTGAGGTAGGTAGTGGCAGCCTTGTTTCTGAATGTTTGTTAATGGGGTTCAGAAATGTTGAGTAACCTGCCCAGGTGACATGCTCATTAAGTGAGAACTGCTGGCTGGCAGACCAGCGTAGGTCTCCCTGACCCAAAGCTTAAGATCTGGCGTCTTTCCTGTGCTGCCTTTCTTGAGATAGGCTTCTTACCGTATCAAGACTCCTTCTGTGACTTTACTTGCTTTTTATGTAAAACAGATTATACTTTATTAATAAACACAAATTTGCCCTTTCAAAATATATGGCTTTTCTTTTATCCCAAAGCATCTCTCCCTGATTTGTAAGGACCGTGTAACGGGGAAGGCTATAGTCAAATGAACTTACCTTTCAGCATGGAAAAAATTCGTGTTATAGTTTAATAATTTAGCTGGGTAGGAGTATTTTTTTCCATGTAGACAAATAATAAAAATTATAGGAAATACAGCTTTAAAATATTAATCATATTTTCCAACTATTAAGATCCTTTAAAAAAACTTCATGTCAAGTAGGGATGGAAAGGACTTACAGAAACTGCCAGATTAATTACAATGAAAGTAACTATATTCAGCACAGCCAAGCTGAATCTTTCTTTCAAGTCTTTACATTACACATTACACATTACACAACCATGCCTATTCACATTACACAACCATGCCTATTCACATACAAAGACAACTCATGATACTACATGGCCAAAGTTACAGAGGCAGTTTTGCAAAGATCGTCACAGGTGTATTCCACCCTCAAGGAAAGCTAAACTTTGGTCTGCAAATGGGTTTGAACAGAAATCTCAACTTCTGTCTGTACTTAAAATGAATTGGAGCAGGCAGATTAGGGTTAGCGCAAGGAAGGAATTTCTAATGATAGGACAGGCAGCCCCAGAAGGTAGTGTGTTTCCTGTGCGTGGAGGGTTTTGAGAAAGGGTCTGATGGCCAACTGCCGAGGATGCTGAAAAGCTCTTCAAGGATTAGATGGGATAAGCCAGAGAGCTGTCCTTGTGATCATTAATGACCCTTCCAAATGGAGTGGTCTATAGGCCTGGATAGCTTTATTCATTCATTAGTTAATGGCTCTCCCAAAGCAACCAATTTTTGAATTTTGAAATGAGCTTATCCAACTCAGCGCCTCAAAAAGAAAACTTTCTTGCAATTCTTTATAGCCAAATGATGAAATAGACACACGTCTATTACCTTGTTGGTCAGATTTCATAAGCAGTTACTATGGTGAAAGCCTGAGTGGGAAAATATCTACTTCACGATCTTTTTCTCAAATCTATGAGTTTATTAGTTTTTAAATACCTCCTAATTTAAAAGTAAAATAGAAGCACTAGAAGAGGGAAAGCTTTGTCTTTCCCAAAGAACTGGCATGGTTTTTTATTTTTGATGGACCTGTAAAAATTCTATAAACTTTTGTTCTAGCCACCAAGAAGCTCAGAGTCAATGTAGAGCACAAAATAACAAGGATAGGGCCCAAGGGCCTGATAATGCATCTTCTAGTTCCAATGCTGGCCTTGTTTTGGTACTCTGAGTTATGTTTTTGGTGGTTCTGATTTTAGATTTTACTGTATTACATGTTTCTTACAGATGGGGTGATCATGTAATTAATTGTCCAACCCAGGACACTTAGAGAAAGTAAAGGGTAGCTATTAATAACTTCTCCTGACAACAGATGTGAACTCGGACTGTCTTTACAGATCAGAACATATGCTCACCTCATCTACAGGGCATGGGTCATAAATGGGATTCAAAAACAAATAAAACATTTAAAGACAAAACAATGATGCCCCATTCTCATGATGGCAAATCAGTAGCATTACATACTGGTTGAGATCAAAAACCATTTGACCAAAATCAGAAAGCATCTGGTTTCTACAGTTTGCTCACAAAGACACCATAGTCCCATGTATATGGCAAGGCTACTTCTCTTTTGTAGCTTTAATGCTTTCCGGGGAAAAAAAAAACAAAACTAAAAATGCTGCATAAAGTATCTGGATGCTAAATACATCCTTGAATTGCATGAATACTGTGAAAAAAAAATAAAAACAATCCAGCGTTCTTAATAGAGACATACCTTGGATACTAAAAATGGGGCTCTACATTATATTCAAAGGGCTCCTCAAACTGGGAAAAGGCAGGTTGCCAGTGACGGGGCCACCACTCCCCTCAAATTCCTTGAGAATCAGAAGCAATCCCTTCTGCGTTCTGCATAATGAACCATCTGCTCCGTGAATTTCTCTGCGCAGGCTTTTAAACTGAGATTTGGATCTGATTTTCCCTTTCCTGTGTCCCTTTCTCTTGCCAAACTGACTTCCCCACCATTGCCATTGTAAACTTAAAGTTTTCTGAGGCAGACTCCTTCCTCAATTCACAGGGACATCCCAAAGAGCAAATAACTTGGAAGAGCTTTAATGAAATGATGTCGGTGCTGACACTCAACTAGGTGGATTGCATTCTTTTAAAACCTCCCATAGCAAACAGCACGGACCAGGACCTCTAATTGAAGTCTTTAATGATCAGTTCCTAACTTCTGAATGTGAGGATCTTTGCTTTACTTTGAAGCTCAAGATACTTTCCTGCTGAGATCTTTACACTGGGTGATTTTCTTTGTCTGGCTCATTCCAATTATGGAGTGATTTATCTCTCTCCACTTTCCACATTACCTCTAGAACTGCTCTAAGACTTAAAAAAAAAAAAAAAAAAAAAGACCAAACACTTCTTTTGAATGAAGTATTCTTGGGTCACAATTTCAAAAATGTCCACTTGTTGGCAATATCCATATCCTTATGACAATAACAGCTCACTGTAATAATAATAATTTGGCTCATGGTAGCCACCAAATAGTTTTTAATTTTTAAAAAGTGTGTCATATTTGCTATTAGCTTAAAATGCTTTATTTTAAAGCTTCAACAATACAAACAGCTAGGATTTATAATGGACTTTAAAAAACAAGTTGTGGAACAGTATATGTAATATGATCCTTATTTTACATTACAGAATACTTATTTCATATACTACATATTGCATGACAAATCTTTTTTAAAAGCCCAAAGTGATACATATCAAATCATTTTTCCCTCGTTATTTCCTCGTGGGGAGTAGGTGGGAGGTAGGAACAACGATGACCTAAGTTTTTTATATCATATAGTTTTGTGTCTGGATTTTTTGAAGGCATGTACTATGTTTATACTATTATTTAAACAACTACCACAAAATACTTTATTAATACTCTATTAATAATCTAATGTTTTGTGTTTATACCCATAGTTACAGACTAGAGTCTATGTCTTATAGCTCTTTAATTATCTTTGTAGAGGCTAATATCCTGTGGATGTGAGATAAATGTTGGACTGTGAGCAAAAATAAATGAAAATAAATAGATCATCATCTGTGATTTGTACTAACGAGTATTTATTAGGCCGGGGCCTACAACAGTGGCCTAAAACTATGCTCTTTTTTGGTTAACACGATTCATATTTTTTCTTATAAAAAAACGGGAAGCTCTGTCAACACTAGGCCCTTTTCCTACCTGTGAACAACCAGCTAGGTCTGAGTAGCACCTTGCACTTAGTCTCCACTACCCTGCAAGACAACCTTATTATACTGTACCAACCCACTTCCCTGTTTTACCCTCTTGTTTCGGTCTACAATTCAGTCTGCTACCCCTAATGTAGGTTGTGAAACATAAATGAGTAGTGTGCATGAAATCACTTTACATAATCCCAAAACAACTAGGTCTTAAATATGGTTGTTGGTTTCTACATCTAAAATCTATCCCTATTCTATGAAGACTTCTTGGTTCTCCAGCCTATATATATTCAGTGGCAATAATATCACGTATTATCTTCTGTCCCTTTAGATTTGCTATACCTTAGATCTTTACAAAATTTGATGTCATTCCTTATGGCAAAATTATGATTTCTTAAATCTCCTTATAAACACACATGTCTACTGTGATAGATGCTAGGAAAAAACCCCATCAACTTCATTTGAACATGTACTAAGGCTAGGCTAGTAAAGACAGCCATAGTCATATAATGAGAATTATCCCGAAAAGCAGGACGCTCCCAATCTGCACACTGTCTGGTCGTGGGATGGACTTTAGGTGTCTCACCTGTAAAACATCTAGCTTGATTCCAAAACTAATTCCTGACTTGGGGCTCCTAGTCACTTAGGCTCTGCTAATGCTGCCCTGGGGGGGGGGGCGGTCTCTGTGCCCTTTTTGGCATTTTAGTAGCTACCTGGAAAGGCAACAAGACACCTACAATCTGGATAGAAATGTCCAATTTCTTAATTTCCTCAAGAAAATCCATCTGTTCACTTTGTTAGCCTACTATACCAAGCTCAGCAGGCAGTGAGATATGCCTGAATATCAAATTATTAAACAGACCAAACGATACAACAGCATCTATTGTTTGGAAGATGGGACTTCTTTTTTTTTTTAAGATTTTATTTATTTGTCAGAGAGAGAGAGAGAGAGAGAGAGAGCACAAGCAGGGGGAGAGACAGGCAGAGGCAGAGGGGGAAGCAGGCTCACCGCCGAGCAGGGAGCCTGATGTGGGACTCGATCCCAGGACCCTGGGATCATGACCCGAGCCGTAGGCAGACGCTTAACAGACTGAGCTACCCGGGCGCCCGAAGGTAGACAGAACTTTTAATAAAGGACCATGGGAGGAAATAGACTACAGGAGACGGTGCCTGGGAAGAAACAGATGGGATATTATCGGTCTAAGCAACCCTAGAAATCCACTCCCTCTCGAACTGGGAAAGAGCTCTCCATCTGCCTCCAGCTAAATCATTCCCTTCCGGAATGTGCCACTCGTGCTCTCCCAATAATGACAGCAAGAAGTTCTAGGACTTACTCCGGTCTGTTACACTCGCGAACAGCAGTTTTGATGCCCCCTCCACACGTTCTTGAGCAGGTTCCAAAGTGACTCCAACTTCCCCAGGATCCATCAGTCACGGGGGCCTCCATTTCTTTGGGGACACAAAATCCAAACTTGCAGTGCTGTATTTAATAAGGGGAACAGTGAGGGAGAGCTCGGTACTGGAGACATCGTAGGACCCGCTGTCCTTTTGAGTATATACCATACTTCATGTCCCACCTCCCCCCAACCCCACCATACGCTGGTTTGAAATGCTGCCATTTCATCATCTATATGAATAATGGAAACAGTAGGGATTTTAATCTTGTACTTATAGATTTTAGGTCCTGTCTTCATTTACCACTTGCTTGAATAAAACCAGCCAATGAGTGGTTGGCTCCAGGCTGTCAGGCTAACTCCAGTGGCCGGCTTCGAAGTGCTCAATTAGTCTACTTGGAAAAATGAGGAGAGGAAGTGGGCAGACTGGTTGTAGACGGGGCCAACACGAATTCCTGAATTCCTGGATTTGTAGAGCGAATCTCCATTAAGAAGGCTCAGAGACATTGTGAGCCTGGTAAAATATGTTTTAATGCTCCCCGTGGATTTGAAAAGCCAATTTTAATTAGGTGGGAGAGAAAAAAAAAAAAAGTAAGTTACATGATTCCTATAAACTCATTCCACCAAAGCACACAGGATGAGATGAGAGCAAAATGGACATATTACAGAGAGCCCTAAACTTTATGGCTTTTTTGTTACTAATGGTTTCAGATTCTCCTGCCTACAGCAGGAAGAAGGCCATGATGCTTAAGACAAAACAAAACAGAATAAAACTCCTCAGCAGGACAAGGGATTCGAGAAGCCCATTTCAACCCTCTGCCATTGTTGGGGTGTGAGGCCCTGACACAAAGCCGAGGTCACTGAGCAGCGGACAAAGGCAGAGTGGAGGCAGTGACCGCAGGAGGGTGATGCCCCGCGGCTCGCTCAGATCTCTCAAGTGGAGCTGACGGTGGCCGCCGGCCGTGATTTATCTGCAGGGAGGGCACAGGCAGAGGCAGAGGCCCACAGCAGCCGGGGGTGGAGTGGGGAGTGTGCTGGGAAAGTGGACAGCACATAAGATGCAGGGGAAGGTCCCCAACTCAAGGGGCAGCCACACAGAAGGCTCGGTGAAGGATCAGAGAGCGCAATTACGCTTTTTCTATTTTGCAGCGCCCTCTCTCTTGCAATGATTCTCCTGGAGTATCTGTATCCCTTTCCCTGGGCTGTGTGGCTGAGGCTTAAAAAGGTTCTGTATTCAAAGATCCTGGGCAACGCCATGCCCAAGAAATGTGGGCAGAGGGAGAGGTGATGACATTATTCTCTGACATCCTCTTACATTTGTCTTTACAGGGGTTGTGAACATTTATTGGAACATAGGCACATAAAAATAAATGAGAAAGGTAGCTTAGTCTACAGCCCCACCATCCAATGAGAACGTGCCATAAGCCACATATTTAAAATTTCTTTTAAATGTTTAGAAGCCACATTAAGTAAAGCCACATAAAAGTAAAAAGAAAATGGAAATTAATTTTAATACCTTTTATTTAGCTCAGAATATCTGAACATTATTATTTCTGTACAGAATCAAGATAAAATTATGGGTTTTTTAAGATTCTTTTTCTCATACTAGGTCTTCAACACCTGGTGTGTATTTTCACGTAAGCACATCTCGGTTCAGACTGACATTTGAAGTGCTCACTAGACACCTGTGGCTATTGGCTGCCATACTGGACAGCAAAGGCCTTAGAAGGACAAAGCTTGGCAGGACAATGGTCTGGTGGGGAGCCATGGCTCTTCCACAGACTAACTCTGCAACCCTAGGTGAGTCCCTGACTCTTCCCACAGCTGAAAAATGGAGATCAACCTGCCAAAGTTGTCTTGAGTAGAACACGAGACACAATGTATCTGAAGCACCTAGTACACAGCGGAACCCATAGGGGACCTGACTTAAATAAAGTCAGTAGGATAATGGCAAATATTCACACAGCTCTAAGGATTGGTCAGGCACTGTTCTAAGCATAGATATATATATGAACTTAGTCTTCCTAGCACACTATGAAATAGGTACTCTTATTACCCCCATTTCTACAGAAAAGAAAATGGAGGCACAGACAAGTTGATGCCAAACATCAGTAAGGGGCAGAGTCAAGACCGAAACATAGACAATCTGATTCGAGAGTACACTCTTCACTGTGACATGTGTGGCCTCTCAATTGCGAGTAAATGGGGACAATGATTTTGGCATGTAAACAAAGAAAAAATTAAAATAAAAGCAAGATGAATGACATGGTTAGGTGAGGCTGAGACTCCCAAGTTGTTCACCCAATATCCATTCTCTCTTTTATCCTTGGAAACAGAATCTATATTTCCCCATATTCTTGTACACATAAGAGTGGTCAAAGAGATGTCAGCAGATTTCATTGGGTGATATTCCTGGGAAGGTCTTTTTGCCCCTTCATCACCTGCCCCTTGGCTTCATTCTACCTGGAACTCCCACTTAATGGCTGGAGTTGCTGCAGCCACTCTGTGACCTTGAGGATGAAGTCTATTTGCACATGATAGTTGTACAGGAAGAGATTAGGAACCTGGGTCTCTGAGATTTGTGGAGCTGCCACAAGTCCATAACCTGCCTAGTTTTGGACTAGTTTCTTTATGTGTCAGAAAAGAGCCAATTTGCTTACATTACTAAAATTGGGTCTGACCTAAACAAAACTCCTAGTTAATATTCAGTTGGGGTCATAGAAGATGACCCTCAGATTCAGCCCTCAAATCTTGCTGCTAGAAACACATTTTATAAGTTCTACAAAGTAATGAGAAATTCCTATACTTCTAATTAAAAACTGGTCAGCAAATCAAATATTCCTTACTGATATGACCACTGATGGGTAGAAAGAGGAGGAGAAGAAGAACCTTAGAAGAAGAGGAAAAGTGCCTGAAGTGACAGAGGCTGGAAATCAGGGCTGTTTGGGAGCTATTTCCCAAGATTATCTATTTTACCAGGCAAATTCAACAAACAATTCTTAACATACTGGAATAGCCACTACATCATAACAAAGCACTAAGTAGCTGGTGGAGTCCAAGCCAAAATAGAGCCAACCTTTTCTAAAAGTGTCCAGAACAATTTAAATGGTATTTTCCTAAACTCATCTCTTTTAGGAGGTTGGAAGAGGAACCCGGCGGTTAATTTTGTCCCAAGGAGGCTTAAAACAAGAGTTTCAAACATCGACTCACGAATGGGGTTAACATGAAATGTTAATGGGCTTAACAAGAGAATGGAGAAAATAAAGAGAATTAGAGTCATTCATCAAAATAACATTGTGTCAGCAGCCCAAGACAGATCACTACTGAGGGAGCAGGGCCAAATGAAGAGAAAGAAACACAAAAATTAACCCCACCTCAAAGGGAGTCAGAATCGGCTGGAGAAAAGGCATAGGACTTTACTGCCAATTCCAAGAAAACAAAACAAAATGAAAAAAAAACACAAAGCATTTCTATGCCAACAATCCGCCATCTTTGGCATTTGCAACAAGCATAAATGCTCTTCAGGGAAATATACACACATATGCCCACATCTTTAATAAAAGCTGCTATACTTGACCCCTTTTCCAAAACAGAACTACCAGGGTACCTATCATGTTCTCCACACAGTTGCTTCTCAGAGAGTGTTCTGAGCCTGCCCTTTGGAATGCCTTGAAGTCTCTTGCTCTTGCTAAACACAAGTGTACATGGAAAACGACTTCTGAAAGACCTCCCAAATTTCCCCATCCCTCAGGTATAAGATTACCCTGCAATCCCTTATCTTCTTGCTTCTGCTACAAAAGCAGAAGATTAGAAAAAGATACAACAGACATCCTCCCGAATTCTTTCGTGTCGCAGGGTTGACTGGGATACCACACCGCTATTGTGGGCTTGGTAGCCTGTTCACCGCAATTTCACGAAATATAATTCACTTCATCCTATTCCTGAAAATTCTTTGTTATGGTTTTTCCAGCAATAACATATATCAGAAATAGACATAGTAGGTGGGTGTCTCAGACTGGCTAAGAACCATAACACAAGACCAGTGATTTTTCTGAGATCAAAGAGAATCAATTTAAGTAATAGAGTGGGCTGGCTCTGACTCAAGCCAACTAACCAAGTCATCAACTAGGTATAGTCTGTTGTCATCTTTCGGCAACTGCTAGCACCCGTCTGGGTCACTGTGCTTTAGCAGGACTCTGAGGCCACATCGTCATTTTGTAAGAATGAATGAATTCTTAATGGCTGCCATGGAAACCTGAGAACCATAATCCCACTCAAACCTATGATCTTCTGGCCATCAACATGCTGAGTTAAATCTCCCACAAAAAGTGAAATATTTACTCTGGCTAAGGAGATCTATTTCTCTTTAAGCTAATGAAAGGTGCAAAAGCTGTTGTGCCCCTGTCCATATGTAGTTTTGGTTGGGCTGTTATTGGAGAAAGCTATATTCTCAACTGCTGAGGTCTCAGCCATCAAGAAGTGAGAACATGAGCTGACTTAGTCACCAAGTAAGTCAAGTATAAAATCAGCTTCATTGTAATTTTTAATTTTTTGTACTAAACTTTAAAATTTTTCAAATAACATTCATACCCTCCAGCTCATGTAACTTTACAACCACCATGGCAGATGAGTAAGGAAGCCACTAGTCCTCCTGTTTGACCACTGGAGACTGAGGAGCTCAGGGAGTTTGAGGTACAACCACCACAGTAGACCTGTGGCCCCTTCAGACAAAGCAAAGGAGGAAAATGGGGTAGGGAGGGGCTGGGGTATGGGGACACTGCCCTAATGAGCTGAGTGACCTTGGACAAGTTACTTCTATTTCTGTTCCCGCTCTATAAAATTGGGGAAGTGAGAGTTAAAGTCTGTCACTTCTGAGGACCCTTCCATGGAAACATTCTGAGTGCTAGTCATTCCTCCAAAGTGGAGGCAAACAAGAACAGAATATTAGAAGTGAGTAAAATGGACAATGGGAAGGAGAGAGAAGAAAGGAAAAATACATGTAAGGATGACAAGAGACTCAGACTAAAGCCCAGGGATTACATCATTGATGAGTGAAAGAATGCCATTTGCCATAGGGATAAAAAAAAAATCAGGTTAAGATCCAAAACGTTCAGTAGCCAATGTTTTTGGGTGATGATGATGATATTGCTACTATACTAACTTTTTATGTTTTAGATGGATACCAGGTGCAGAAGTTTGTACTAATCACACTTCTAGGTGTGTGGGGCATTGTTATTTCAGGGCTGTATAAGTAGCAGATTTTTTTTTTTTTTGGTTATTAACAAATAGTGGGAACCATTATAACCAACTCAGGACTTACATTTGCATATATCCCAGGTGACATCACAGCTCTTAAAGGGACCAACACAGGCTGGAAAAAGCCTGGTATTCCAGTAGTGAACAAAGGAAGTTCACTGTATTTCTGTGTTTCCTTGATTTTTAAAATCCTATTTATTTTATTTGAGAGAGAGAGCGAGAGTGAGCATGAGCTGGGGGAGGGACAGAGGGAGAGGGAGAGAATCTCAAACAGACCCTGTGCTGTGTGCGGAGCTGGATGCAAGGGCTCGATCCCACAACCCTGAGATCATGACCTGAGCCGAAATCAAGAGTCAGTTGCTCAGTTGACTGAGCCACCCAGATGCCTCTGTTTCCTTGATTTTAAGATGCTCCATCAACTTAAAAACAGCCTTCCACTGCCACCTCCAAAAGAGACAGAAGAAAAAGAAACACTGTCCCGCATTAAACTAAAAAGGATGTCGGGATTTTAGGAATGATAAAATGAGAGAAAGGATGTTTTCAAATTAAGGCAATAATGTTAGCCCTGTGTCTTGTATCAGTATTATGCCATAATGTAAGTTTTCACAATTTTCAAAAGTACAGTTGAACTTGTCACCCTCAAAAAGTCTGATGCATGCTAAAACACACTGCATCAGCATATACTCTAAACAATGGTGACTAAGCCGACAGCTAACATTTTGCCCATTTCTGCTGCCCCAAGACAAAATAACGGATTGGGGTGCTACTTGCCTTTCCAGGCTCACACTCGGTCCCATCTGCCCAGGGCGTGTGCTGAGTCCGGCATACTCCATCCACATTATTGCACCAGAGTCGTCTACACTGCATCTGTTCAATTCAGTTAAACAACAAGTCAGTGACAATGTGATTAGATGATATGGAACCAGGCAAGGATTGCCAATAGGTTAGAAAGGGACTTTTTTTTCCCTTGGTGTGACGAATGATAAAATATTCCAAGGGCTACAGAGAGCAACCCATGAGACACATTTCTATGTCTGGTAGGACTTCAGGTGGTGTAAAAGGGGGATGTTTGCTATCACGAGTAACGCAGAAAGGAATATAATCACGGGAAAGTTTCACTCAAACATTTTTATTATTTCCATAGAATCACTGTACTTCCCAATTCACCATGCTATCTATCTCCGAAGTCTCTCCCACCAAACCAACCAACCAGAGACCCAAAGGAAGAGAAGGGGGCACCTCAGAGAAGCACATTTTTTTTTCCATTTGCATCCTGATAACCACTGGGTATCATTGGTCCAAGTGCCCACAACACACACGTTAAAATATCCCACACCCCCCAGTTGAGCGACCATCAGAAATGATTTCAAGCCGCACATGGTCATAGGACACAGCCCTGACAAGCTAAAAGCTAAAACAGGGAAACAGGTTTGTTTCACGAATGACCTCTACTGAATCTAGAAGAGTCCCTATAATAAAGGTCACCTGGACAAATCAGTGGGGAATGAAAGGGGACAAGGAGAGCTGTGCCATTACCAGCCCTGTTACCCTGTCCTCTCTGAGCCCCCGTTTCCCACATGTAAAATGCAAATGATAACGACATCTGCCTTTTGGGCTGTCACGACAGTGAAGTGAGAACGTGCAGGTGAAGCACCACCTGACAGCGAGCACTATCACTGTTGATCGTCATCATCACTACTAGTATCGTCATCAATAGTCAGTGGACTGTTCTCCACTTTGCCCCCAGTGGTCTATGTTAGAGTGAGAAGCCTGTGGAAAACTGTGAATTAAAAACATCCAGAATCAATGGATGAAGGCAGAAGTGGCCCCCAAACACTTACCATATATGGGCACACCTGAGAACCTGGTCCAAAAATCAGTTCACATTGTTTATTCACGTTGTAGAGGAGGCCTGGCAGTTGGGGAGGCAAAGGGTAGGGTCTGGATTCAGGTTCATTCAGCAAGCACTCGCCGTAACCAGTGCTACGGAAAGCAGAAAAATACAGATGGTGAGAACCGTGATGAGAAGGGGCTGTCAAAGGGTCCAGATGAAAGTGAAGGCCATCCTGCCATTTTAAAGGTAGAGAGGATAGTTCCTTTATCGAATGTGCTTTATTCTTTACATCCCAGGCTAATGTCCAGAAGGTGAAGCTCTATTTCTGGAACTTGTTTATGGAACTCTGGCTCTCCATACAACGCAGTCAGTAGGAAATACACAGCTTTTACAGCATTTGCTACATTTCAGGGCAATTATCTGTATTTTTACCCTCATCTCCAATAGATTGTAAGCTTCTTAGGGGCAAAGATAGTGTCCTTTTCATCCAAGCACGGGGCTCAAGAACACCATAGCAACAGATCTTTAGTAAATGTTTGCTGAGTAGAAGAGTGAGTAAATCAACAACTATAAGAAGAAACACGTCAGGTCATCTGGTTAAAAAGAAAAACAGCAACCCTCCAGTTCTTTGACTTTTCTGCAAACACCTCTTCTGGAAAATTCACACCTGGTGAGTTCTGATTAATAAGCCCCCTCTTCCCTGTGGCTGGAGAAATATACACCCAGTGACCTTGGACAATCACTTAACCTTTCGTACATCTGGGAGAGAAGAGCAATAAATCTGTGACACAGGGATATGGTATAACGTAATTGGATCTTTGAGCTGCCTGGCAGGAAGCTTAAAAAACAAAACAAGAAAAACAAAAGAAAGAAGGAGAGAGAAAGAGTGAGGGAGGGAGGGAAAGAGACAGAGAAAGAATGTTCTCAATTCAACAACCTGGTGGTCTGTGTGATTTCCATCCACCCACATAACCCTCTTTGGGGTCGTCTCACTACCCCTCCCTTTTTGGAGCCCAAATTACTAAGTGAGAGCCACATGAATATCTGTGGCCTTCCCTCATCATGGAATCACATTCATGGGCCCTCCCCCAAGACCCGGACAGACTTCAGAGCTTTGCCAAGAACGAAGCCACATTTACATATTCTCTTTAAGATCCCGGCCTTTTCTTGAGCTCAGTCTGTAATCTTCAAAACTCTGGCCAGGAGAGGAACTGCACAGATGTCAGAGAGTATTTTTTTTACCTCCTCCCAAGAATGTCAACAAAAAAATAACACTCCAGAGGAATGCTTGACTCAACATTTTCTTTCCCACAATAAGTTCACTACACAGAGACCAGACACTAGAAGCCCGGGCTCAAAGAAAGTTTAAGTCTTACTCTAAAAACTCAGTGATATATTTTCGACTACATTTTGACCACATCCAGGGGTTGGTGTAGAAGTTCAACGTCGGAGCCATGACATGCTGGGGACTCTTGACTCCTTCTTCCTTGCACTTGTTGTTGTCATCATGAGGCATGTTAAACCTAAGGCCAGCGAGACAAAGACAGGAACATTAATAAATACCAAAGTACCGGGCTACTGCCGTTGCTTCAAGAAGGCATCTATCTAAGAGAAAAACGTGAGCTGCTTTCTGCATTATGAATAGGAACCCACATCCTGGGGAGCAGGAGAAAACTTCCTAGATGGTTCAAGATGGACTAGAGCAGAGAACGTAATTCTCACCCAATTTAATACAAAGTGCCTTTAATGTATAAAAAAAAAAAAGATGTACAGTGGCCCATTATCTGGGTTAGGTGTCCTTTTTGGAATTGCAGATGCTCTGAGCGTGCTGTAGTTGGTGCTAGAATACAGTAGTTGAAATTCCTAATAAGCTGTTAAAGGCCAATTTATAGAGTCAAGAATTTAGCAAGTTATGATAACACTGTGAATATAAAGAGTCCGTCAAGTGTCAAACCTTCAAGCCAAAAGCTTTCTAATAAGAGGCTCACTATGGGTCTTGGCATCTCCTCCTTCTGGGTCAGGTTGACAAATGATATAGCTGTGTAGGTATATCATTATAAAGGTATGCAAAGTTCATGCACAATAAACCCATTAAGGAAAGCTGCAAGCATGGAAACCAGAAGCATGCCAATTCAATTGGCTTAACGCAGACAGGGCAAATAGTTTCATGCTTCCTGCCAATGCCAATTGATTGGTACTGGCTTCCTAAAAAGTTGGGCACAAAAGGATTCTTAAACTAATCCAGGTTCTGTCCCGAGAAAAGGCTATGATGGAGTGCCAATGTCCTCTCGGGCCTGGGAGGGAACTCAGCAGCAGCATTAACACATACTTGCCATTCTTGGCTTCGCCCAGGGAAATGGGGGGAAAAATGATAGGAAGCATTTCTCAACCTAGAAACATCAATTCTATGACCCACATGCCATTCTCAGCTCCAGTAACGAACTCAGAGGCGCTGTCCTCTCTGGATGACTCTCCAGTCACAAAAATGGTGCATGTGGCTAATTTTGCATTTGGGGGGAGGAATGCCCTCCACTAGTTCATCTTGCAATAGGGAAATCAGTGAGCCAGACAGGAGTGTGTAGACTTGTTTCGCATGCATCTAAAAGCTGGGATAAAAGCCTGTCAAGTCCATTCCATTCATTTCTCTTGGGTTTGGTTTTCTTCTTCTTCTAATACAACTTGGGCTCCTCAGTAATTGCCTGATGAAATAATTGCCAGATGGAAATTATGAGATAGAAAACCTTCATCAGTCTAGGTTAAAATGAATAGTGGTTCTTCATGCTTAAGAGTCCATTTTCTTAAAAGAATCACTGCTCCCATTTCCCGTTCCCAGCTGCAAAGTCAGTGTCATACCTACACCAAGAAACCCCACACAAGCAACACGCCCAAACATTCGTTGTTTGTTTTTCTGTGGTGTGAAGGAGCTGGTGTTTACTCATCACCCCAAACATGCCTACATAAAATCAAGTTTATTTCATCACATCAAGAGAAAACTTCTTTTCATTCAAATGTCAGGCACATTTGCTCACAGCAGGGGCTAGATAATATTATTCACTGAGCACTTCACTAAAAAATAATAACCAAGAGTTTTTTTTTTTTGCATTCACAACGTACCAGGCAATGTGTTAATTGTGTTAGATGCTTTATTTCATTTAACTACCTTATGTGAAAAGTGCTATTACTACCCACATTTTATAGATGAGAGAACATGAGCTGTAGAGAGATTGATTTACTTGATTAAGGTCACATGGGTGATGGAGTGAGGGAGCTGAGATTGGAAACCACTCCAGTCTGATTCTAAAACCCCTGTGTTTTGGAATATATATAAAGCATATTCCCTCCTGTTAGACAAATTGTGGAAGATTTGTCAGGAAGACTGTGGAAGGACTTCTGTATCCAGCAGAGTCAGTTATTTCCCAAATTCCTCCTAACTCAGATCTGGTGCATCTAGAAGCAGGTATGAGAAGGTAGGAGCTGCTTTTGAAGCATCCAATGATACTCAACAAATAAAAGATCAATTGCTTTTTTCTCCCCAACAGGGTTTTATGTTATCAGAGAGTCATGACTGTTAACAACTTAATGTTTAATCTTTAAAAAGTTCATTAGAAAATCTGCTACAAAGTACTGTAGCAAATTAAAAAAAAAAGGATATTCATTTTCTGTTAAATATAAGCAAACCTAACTATATGAGACAAAGCATCAAAACAAAAAGAATTCACTAAGGGGCCAGAGATACACTTTTTGTTTAGCTAATAACTCTCATCATTCACCAATTATTTCATTTTTTTAAATTTCCTGATACTTTGAGATGAGGTGCATAATATATTAGCCCCATCTAATAGTGAGGGAAACAACAGATATTTTTCTCAAGTCAAAGAGAATGCAGAATTAGAACAATTCAGTCCAGAACTTGAGTATCTGGCTCCCAGCTGATTTCCTTGTTAGAGCTGGTACCCCAACATTAACAACTAGACTTTGAGCAATTTAATATTTGCTAAGGTCGTTTGACAGGGAAACAATATCTATCATGTGGTGATTATGAAGTTTAAGGGAACTAATGTAAATAAAAACTTCTAGACCAACGCAAACGACATGGTTTTTGTGGGGGGAGATGTCTGTTAACTGTATAGAACCATAGAGCTGGGGCTCCTCTATGGCTGAAAATACTCAGTTTTGCTAATCAAAATTCTCACTTTCCTTAAAATGTCAACTTTATAAACTGGTTGTCCTAAAAGGAGTTTATAAGCTCTTGTGAGGAAGGAATTAAAAGGAAATTAACTATATTTCTTTATAGTATACCTTTCTTAACCATAGATTATGGGTAATTGTTAATCTATTAATCACACAAACTCTCACCCTTTGAATCATTCCTATCTCTAACTTCCCTCATTCTGGTCTCTTGAGGCAGGGATGGTTGCCTTGTTGAAATGCCACCCTATTCTTCATGGTCAAATCTACACCTCCTATTCAAAGGTTTAAAGGAATTTACTAGACTTTACGCAAAACAAACAAAAATCCCCAAAGATTCTATTAAAATAAGTTTGGGAAAACGGAGTTAAACAGAACCAAGCAGTTTATTTTAATACAGGACTTGTCAGAGCCTTTACTTTTTGTCACTGAGCCTTGTGACTCTAAGCAGGGCTAGACGAGGAAGAAAAAAAAATTTTTTTAATTACTTGACTATAAACCTCCTTCCCCTCCTCCCCCAATAGACCATTCTCTTGGAATTGTACTGGAGCCCTTGTGTATTGGGAAACGCTGGTGGGACCAGTTTTCAAACTGGGCTCCAAGATATCCTTAAGTTTCACAAAAATATTTCAGAAACCAAAAGGACAGAGAGGAAGCTGACTAAGCAGGACTCTGGCCCACCACAACTGCTTAATGAAAACCATGCTTCTTTTGTGCTATAAATATTGGGCATCTGATAATATTTCCTTTGGAGAAAAGAAAACAGGTGTGCTCCTAAAATATGCTTGAAAGTTACTAGTTTCAAATATACCCATTATATGTTGAACTAAATTGGAGATGCCTCTACATATGCATCTTGCTTTACTTCTAGAATAGCACTCTGCACATAGGTGCCTTCAAAAAGCATCTGTTGAATAAAAAAGCTTGCTTAATAGATTATTTACCTCCAAACAAGGTTAACACTGACATGTAAATCGATATACAACTATATCAGTGACATCTTTTGAGAAAATCATTTTTAAAAGATATAGTAGGAGTAATTAAATCATTCTAGAAAGAAAACAATGCAGACCAAAAATCAGAATAATTTCTAGTAAATTTACACTGTTTCACCCCATGTTCTAGCTATGCCCTGTTTCTAAAGAACAAAAAGGAAAAGCCGATTTCATAATGACCACTAAGTGACGATAGTTAGGAAATGTTTTCTTCTCTGTATCTTTGTTCAATCTCTTCTCTGAAAGAGGGACATCACTGTGCCCAGAGGCTAAATGTCTGAAAGAAAGCCTTGTCTATCTATAGCCAGGAACAATCTGGATTTGCAAAAATCTTGTGAACCAGGGTAATGAAGGGAGACCCTCCCAGATAAAGATGTTACTGGGGAAAGTTTCTTAAGCTAATGGATGCTCTGCTTCAGTGGGTGGGCTGGAAAAGCCTCATTCCTCCAATTCCACGCAGGAAAGGAGAAGACTAGATGTTACATCGTAAATGTGTGCAGTTAAACCCAAGATGCACGTCAGCTATGGCTGAAGAGGGGGCGCTGCACGACTCAGCTTTCTAGAGCCAACTAGGTTCGAGGCTCTTCAACCCTAAAATTTCTGTTATGACTCAAGAAGTGCCTTACCCTCTCTCAAATCAAGGGGATACTCATTGATGCAAACGAAGAAAAGTTTTAGGTCACTCGAAATTAAATGAAAATGCAAAAAGGAAACATACACATGGCCCAGCTCATGGGCTATTGTGAAAGCCGTACTCAATCCGCTGTCTTCACTAATAGAACAGCTTCTGTAGGGATCACAGATGGTACCCAGCTCAGCAAGACCTGTTCAAAGGAAAGAAAAGAAGGGTTTACTTGAAAAAGCAATTGTGGCTTGGAATAAAAAGGCAGGAAACTGTTGTAGCCATAGAGGATGCACACAGCGGACTCACCTAAGGTGTCACATTTGTCATGAGCTCTGCAGATATCCTGTCTGAAAGCAAAGCAGACTTAGGGCCATGACAACACCAAAGAGTAAATGTCAACACAAGTAAACACATGACAATCTTCTAGGCATTCACAACAGTGGCCCCCTCGCGGGGGAGGTGGTTACAAAGACCAAACTGAGGAGGCCAAGGGTGGGTTTGTAACTCAAAAAATCTTGGGAACCAGTGACATAAGGATTAAAAGCTACATCAAGAGGGGTTCTTCTGCCATAGGGGTAGCTACAGAGCAGGTGAAAACTTCTCCAACCTGGGCTTTCCCTCCTACCGTGATTCTAGTTCCTTCTTGAACGTTCCTGAGAAGGCTTTCAATCCCTCTCATGTCAGTTCACGGAGGAGTAAGTGACTGTGACTATCTCCAAGGTGACTGAAGGGAAATACAACCAGGACAGCACTCCTCTTTGTTGCCCTACACGGCATTTTAAGTATTTTTGAGTTCGTTGCTACCATGTAAAAATTGGAAGATTTCACTTAAAAGAAAAATCCGTATTTCTGACTTCTTGCAAAATCACAGAAGTTGGTGACACTGGACACCTTCGTGGCATGGTAACAACCAGCTCCATCTGAATAGCGGTTGCCTTTGGTCTAAGGGCGTCTACTGTTGGGCCAGACACATCTCCTGCCTACTGGGCACCTATTGGCTCATGCTTCTCAATCAGGGATGATTTTGCTCCCCTCACCCCCAGAGACATTGTTGGTTGTCGCAATTGAGGGGAGAGGTTGCTACTGATAGGTAGTAGAAAGAGACCATAGATGCTGCTAAACATCCTGCAATGCACAGGGCAGCCTCCACAATAGTGCTGACGTTTGGGAATTTTGTACTAAGGGCTGGCTACCAAGAATATATGACCTTGTCCCACCAACATGAGTGGAAACCGAAAGATCTGATGAATGAGAAATCCATATACCTCGTTACAAGAACAGCAGTATCATGCTGGATTCCACCTGGAGAGTTCTTCGAGTGTTGCCACTGGCAAAAATTTTTTAAAGTTGTCTGGGCATTAAAAGAAATGGAAGGTCCTTCCTAAATGCAGAAAAGAATTATGAGTGGCCCATTGTACCACCACTGAGATATGCCATTTCGGATACATATACAAGAAAGAAGAAGAAAAAAACTTGATTACCTGTTCATTATGAATCACAACTAAGTTCACAATAACAATATTAATTAAATTTCCAATACTTGGGTCTTTATAGATAGAGGCTACCTGCAACCGAGATAAATTTTTCAAGGTTAATTGTGAACTCTGTGTAAGCAATAAGCAATTCACTTTTTATGCTGGGGCTCTACCTCTTGTCACGTTTCATGCAAACATATGCATTTTGTAGTTTTGAATTTGCATTAGTTCAACAAACATTTCTTAAAACTCTCTTTGAAAAATTCATAGATGGCAGTTTCAGATAAGAATGAATCCCAACAAGTTTAAGTTTCAAAGTGTTTTCCTTGGAAATTGCATTGCCACATAACCTAACAGTTCTCTGTGCCAAAACACTGGATATTCATTTTTGAGCAAGCTCTTTCATCCCAGTTGAAGTCCCAGATCGCCCAATTATGGAATCTCACATTGACCACGTTGGCTAATATAGTTGTTCTTCATATTTACCTCCCATTTGTGTTCTTCACAACCTGGTAACCTGTTTGGTTTGGTTTTGCTTTCATTATTATCATTAATTATGAGAGCTAATGTTCATTGAGTGCTTATTGTATACTAGATCCTTGCTGAAAATTGCATACGCATTTGCGTTCAGTCCCCAGAGCAAAACTCTGGGCTAGGTATCACAATCTCTGCACAACAAGTGAGAAAACTAAGGCTCAGAGAATTTAAGTAACTTTGCCAAGACTATAGACAGCGCTGAGTGGCGGAGCCAGAATGTTCAGCCTACATCAATTTGACCCAAAATCCAGGCTCATAACTGAAATTCTTCTGAAAGGTCTGAATTTATGGGCTGGAAATAGACTTGCATCTGGGCAAGGTGTGATTAGGTTTTCCTCTCCCTCCTCCAGGACAGGAGAGGGCTGGGGCCTAGGGGACTGAGCATGGGAAAGGGAGGCGAGGAGGGAGTGCAGGGCAGGCAGGTTGAGGAGTGGTGGGGAGCACAAGGGAGTGGTTCACAGCAGGGAGGGGGAAAGACTGGGAGAAGCACAGGCCAAGGAGAGGGAAGAAGAACTCTAAAAGCATAGGTCCCAAACATGGTTGCTTTTCACAACCTTTTGGGGGAATTTATTCAAAGCAGGTTCCCGGTCAGATAAATTAAGGTCAATCCATTGGAATAAATGCTGTGTTGAGTCTTAAAATGAATGAGGGTAGATTGTATGGGCTGCTATAGAACAATCTCCAGTGTTTTTAAAAGAAAAGAACAATATGTAAAACAGTGTATTAGAATGTTCTATTTTGGTTTGAGAAACATTGTATGTGCATACATATTTAGTTGTGTTGTCCAATATGGTAGCCACTTGTCCCATGTGGCCACTGAGCACTGATAATGTGGCTTTTCTAAAACAAGATGTGCTGTTGAATGTAAGACACATACTGAATTTTAAGACTTTGTATGAAAAAAACTAAGATATCTCATTAGCAATTTTTGAAATGACAGCATTTTGACAGAAATTAATATACATCATTAAAACTAATTTTACTTATTTTTTAAATTACATATGTGGTTTGCATTATATTTCTATTGGGCAGTGCTGGTTAGACACATATGGAAAAAAACTTTTAACAGTAGTTGCCTCTTGGAAGGGGCCAGGGTAGGTAATGACACACTTCTTTCTCATGACTAGTCTTTGGTTCTGTTTGATTTTTTTTTTTAATAATGTAAATCTATTGATTTTTCGATTCAAAGTGAGAGTAGGAAAATAGGGGGGGAGAGATCTGTGGGCCTCATCCCAAGGCCACTCAATTAGACCCCATAGCTGGCTGTGCAAGTGTGTATGTCAGACAAGAAGCACTGGGGTTGGGAAGTGGACCATCTAGAGGTCACGTGCAGTCTCTAAGCCACTTACTAGCTTCACAAGACCATGGGCAAGTGGCCTAACTCCTCTGAGGCTCAGTTTTCTTATCTATAAAATGGGGGTGATAATCCTACCTAGCAGAGTTGCCAGGAGGATTAGAAATGATGCCTTTTAACTACAAAGCGCATTGTCTAACAGAATAAACACTCCACCCTGTCACCATTATTGTTATTATAAAAAGGCAACCAATAAATCATCTGATGTTCTCTTCGGTCACTTGCCTGAATCGTTGAAATGCCAGCCCTGAGAATGATCCTCCAAAGCACTGGGTGGAAACCCATTTCCCAATGGCACATTTAGGGACCTCATAAATCACCTTCTTTTGAATGTACTTACAATTGACATTAGAGTTAAAATATAATGTTGAAGGTTTGTTCCGTGGTATACAACCATTTTGTAGTCCGCCACCACCATCACTTCTACAAACCGTGGATAGGATAAAAAACGTTTCGTTCTTCTGTGGGTCCTCTTATCCCTGGCGCTGTCCGTCTTGTTGCCATAGGCAGAAAGCGCCTTTGTTGCTAAGCTGCTTTTTAATACCGCCACGTCATCAGCCAGGCTACGCCTCTCTCCCCATCTTCTCGTTCTCATTTTCCTCTTGTCTTTGCTGTGACTATTTTTGTGCTCTGTAACAAATCGGAGGGCACGCATTACATTTCAAACCACCTCTCCTTCATATTAAGAACTTAATTTGCTACATCTTAAAAGATGATGCTTCTGTTGTCAAATTAAATACAAAATCAAGTTCTACACACTGTGGACTCTACGGGAGAAACTCAATCTGCACTCTCCTCTAAATGACTAAGGACTTGAAATTAGCTTCCCTGGAAGTTTCCATTAATGCTCACTTAAGGTATTAGGAAATCAGGCAGGAGTTTAAGGGAAGCAATTGCCTGTGACTTTTCATTTGGTAACAAAAGTCTTGCTGGACTGTAACTGGCTTCCATTCATTGTTCTTTGCCATAGATATAGTAAGGTCCAGCACAGGTACTGGGCTTTACGGAATGGAAATGGAGATGTTTCCTATACACCACTTTTGATATTCAATGAGCTGCAGGATAAAGAGGTCTGAGAGGTGGCCAGGCTAACAGACAATACAAAGGGACTCTAGAAAACGCACAAGGTATTTTTCTATTACCGCATGAAATCATTGTTTTACATGAAATGTAAGAATAGGATCACTGCTATTCGTCGCCTCTGAATTTTTTAATTAATTTAGTTCAGGGCTCAGTTAGCGGAGTCGATTAAACTCAGGGAGGATGAACAGGCCACTGCGGCCGTGATGTGCAATGCCAGATTCAGACTTTTGCCTAGCTCCGTCCTCAGTTCTATACAATCTTGCTGCTCAAAGTGTGGTCCGTGGACCAGCAGCATTGGCAGCCCCTATAAGCCTGTGAGAAATGCAGACTCTCCGGCCCCACTCCAGCCCCGATAAATCAGAATCTCCAGCTGAACAAGATCTCCAGGTGATTCATATGCATGTTAATGTTTTGAGAAGCGCTAGGCCACAATGTGGCTTGAAGCTTGTGTTGCTGGAGAAAATATTCAATTTCGAAGTCATCAACCACACAACAAACGGAATAAGCATAAAAGTGCCTGCCCAAATAGGCTCTGAGTAAGAATGGAATTTAATCTGTTATCTTGCCTATCATCTCACAAATGGGCTTTAAAGTTTTAATGCCAGCATCCTGTAGTCTAAGACAGGCCACAGAATCATATACCTGACAAGTATGCTTACCTAAGATGCAAAGAAGAGAGTTTATTGCACCAATAACAACAACAACAAAGGTTAAGCCAGAAGTGGTTTCATATTTGAAGGGCTCAATATTTGACCATAAAAACCATCGCTAAAACAACCCATTTAGGCCAGGATGTGTATTTTGCCCAAGTTGAGTGTTTTAGCAGGTGTTAAAATAGTGAAATCGGTCCACACTGTCAAACAAGTTATATGTAGCCATAGATCACATAACTAGCCCAAAGTCTGGTACACAAATCATCCACATTTCTCTTTAATGAACTTGTAGCATAATAAAATTGAGGCTAGTGTTTCAAATTGGCATAGATATTATATGATATCCTTTTCTGCCGGTCTCTTGTGAGTATATCCATGTATGTTACACCCACGTCATATGGGTATTTAGGCTGTCCATTTTTAAGTCACCAAATGACTATGACTAATCAAGTAATTGAACTAGGCTTTTTTGTGTATGTTGTCTCACAATTCCTCTCAAAATGAGAAAATTAGTGCTCGCTTCGGCAGCACATATACTAAAATGAGAAAATTAACCTCTACTTTACAGATGAGGAAACTAAATCTCAAAGAGATTGAGCAACTTGTTCAAGGTCACATAGCAGGAAGTGGTGGTTTGAGGCATCAGACATGGATTTGATCGATGCCCTAAAACATGCTCTATTTGAGCAAGATTTCTCAAGAGCTCAGGACTGAAATGGGCTCATGGTTTGGTTAAATCTCAACTGGACAAAAGAGAGCATGTGGATATTTTCACAAAGACTAGCTTTTTATAATAGGTGTGCAGAGGCCATGTTGAAAACTGCATGGTTTTTAATATATTAAGAAAATATATTAAGAAACAATGTCATTGGGGCGCCTGGGTGGCTCAGTTGTTAAGCGTCTGCCTTCGGCTCAGGTCGTGATCCCAGGGTCCTGGGATCGAGCCCCACATCGGGCTCCCTGCTAGGAGGGAAGCCTGCTTCTCCCTCTCCCTCTGCTGCTCCCCCTGCTTGTGTTCCCTCTCTCGCTGTGTCTCTCTCTGTCAAATAAATAAATAAAATCTTAAAAAAAAAGTCATTCATTTTATGAAAAACAAATAATCCTGTTTATTACGTTTTCTGTAAAGGCTTAATATAATTACTATAATCAGTAAAGTTTCAAAGGCTTTAAAGTCTCTCTATTCTCCTACTTTCTCTAATTATTTTGTGCTCTAATCTTTATTATATTCTTCTCTCTGCAGGCTATAGTTTTGTTTTCTCTTCCTTTTTCAGAGAGAAATTCAAGCAGACTCTGTGCTGGGCATGGAGCCTGAGGTGAGGCTTGATCTCACGACCCTGAGATCACGTCCTGAGCCCAAACCAGAGTCGGATGCTTAACCAACTGAGGCACCTAGGCGCCTGCCCCCCTTCCAGTCTTTTTTTTCCCCCCCTTCCACTGTCTTAAAGAAGAAGGTTAGATTACTGATTTGAGATATTTCTTCGTTCTTAATAGAGCCATCGATAGCTCTAAATTCCCCTCTAGGCACTGCTTTACCTGCATCCCATAAATTCTGGTATGTTCTATCTTCATTCTTATTCATCTCAAAGTATTTTCCAACCTCCCTTTTGACCTGCTGGTTATTTTAGCTGTTTACTTTCCACATATTTTTGAGTTTCCTATTTTTTTAATGTTTTTGATTTCTACTTTCATTCCACTGTAGTCAGGGAAGGTACTATATATTACCTCTATCCTTTTAAGTATATTGAGGTGGTTTTTGCTTTTTTTTATGGCCTAGTGTATGATCTATTCTGGAGAATGTTCCATGTGCATGTCAGAAGCATTTGTATTCTGCTGTAGCTGCATGGAGTGTTGTATAGATCATCTGTTGGGTGTAGCTGGTTTATACTGTCTTTCAAGTTTTCCATTTCCTGTTGATCTTCTGCTTCCCTGGTCTAACCATTACTGAATATGGGGTATTAAAGTTTCAACAATTACTGGTGAATTATTAATTTGTCCCTTTAGTTCTGTCAGTTTTTGCTTCATGTATGTGGTGCTCTGTTAGGAAGTGCATCTATATTCGTAATGGTTAAATCTTCCTAGTGAACTGGCCCTTTTTATTATAAAACATGTTGGCAAACTTTATCAATAAAGTAATGTGAAAGAAGCCAGTCAGTATATGATTCCAGTCATACAAAATGTCCACAAGAGGAAAATCAGGAGACAGAAAGTAGATTAGTTGCTGGAGGTGAGGTGGTAATATGAGGGGTTGGTAGCGAAAGCGTACAGTGTTTCTTTTTCAAGTGATAAAGATGTTCTAAAAATGATGGTGATGATGGTCACACATATCTGTGAATACACCAAAAGCCATTAAATTGGACACTTTAAGTGGACGAACAGTATGGTATGTGAATTTTATCTCAATAAAGCTGTTTAAAAAAGAAAATATATCAGTTTGTGAAAAAGAAATAATCTTTACTTAGGGTCTTCTATAAATATTTTGATTTATCAGGTTTAGTTAGAGAAAAGTACAACTACAGTGAGAAAAACACTCAGGAAATGCTGTATTCGCTCTCTTTGACCACTCACGGGGAAAAATATACTCTCAGAGACTCATCAGAGGGGACTTGTATATTGGAATATCTGAATGGGAATCCAGGCACTAACTAGAAAGAAGGGTTACTTATTTAAATAACAAAGCTGAAGAAATTCAGGCATTAATCACAAAAAGACTACAATTTATAACAGAGAACAATGCATGTAAGTTCTAATATACCTGGAAGACATTTCATTCACAAGTAATCTGTGTATCAAAGAAATAATTCAGTCTACTTTAGGTGGCATGAAAAAGCAGGAATAAAATTACTTCTTCAGAATCAAAAACGTCTTCTAATATATAATAGTTCCCAGTCTTTTACCCATATGATCTTTTATCCTAATGAGTTAGAATCCTAATTAACGACCTAATTAGCTCATCCAATTTCAAACACATGATCCATTTTAACAGGCAACTTTTAATTTAACATTAAAAATAGTATGAGCTTTAAAGATTCAAATATTCACAATGGCTACAAATGCATGAACATTTTTCCTGAGAACTGAAAATAGACAAATTTTAACTTGTATACCTACTCAATTCTCTTGCCTCTGAATAGAATCTGTAACAACAGAGAATAATTTCCACCAAGGGACATACGGTGTTAAGATTAAATGAAAATCATCCACATTTCTCTTTAATGAACTTGTGGCATAATAAAATTGAGGCTAGTGTTTCAAATTGGCAATGCCAAAAACTTTGCTACTAGGTTTTTTTTTTTTTTTTAAGATTTTATTTATCTATCTGACAGAGAGAGACAGCAAGAGAGGGAACACAAGCAGGGGGAGTGGGAGAGGGAGAAGCAGGCTTCCCGCCGAGCAGGGAGCCCGATGCGGGGCTCGATCCCAGGACCCTGGGATCATGACCTGAGCCGAAAGGCAGATGCTTAACGACTGAGCCACCCAGGCGCCCCAACTTTGCTACTAGTTTTATCAGAATGGGCTATCTACATAATGAGATTTCACTCTGGTGGAAAGCACAGTACAAATTGTGTATTTTTGCTCTTCCTTTCTCTTTTTTTCCCCCACACATAGCTTTACATATATTAGTACTTTTTATCGAGATATAATATATAGGGGCACCTGGGTGGCTCAGTTGGTTAAGCGTCCTACTCCTGATTTGGGCTCAAGTCATGATCTCAGGGTCTTGAGATTGAGCCCCACGTCGGGCTCCACGCTCTGCTGGGAGTCTGCTTGAGATTCCCTCTCTTCCTTTCCCTCAGCCCCTCCCTGTCCTCTCTCTCTTTAAAAAAAAAAAGACAGAGAGAGATGATTTATATAACCATAAAATTCATCCTTTCAAAGGGTATAATTCAGTGGTTT